GTGTCAGGTGAGGGGCTGCCACAGATCCCTCTGATTTGAATTACGAGTGTGGAATTTAAAATGAACTTCTGAATCTGTTAAAGCTGGACTTCGAATTTTTATTTCTGGACCCTGGACACCCAGCTCTGGTGGGAAGCGAGTCTGCAGAGCAACAGTCTCACAGCCTCCACGGCACCTTCACCTCAATGACCTCGTATGGGAACTGGGAAGAGTTTCTTCCTGCTTTACTGACCACATTAGTGAGTTCCTTCCTTTCACCCTGGTTTGGACAGAAGAGGATCAGGCATAAAATGCGCCGCCACCACCACGGATCCTCTGCTGTTTATTCACAACTGGGCAGCACTTCTCTGAGAAGATCCATAGGGACTGGCACAGTCAGGGAGTGGGAAATCACAAGCACCACGACTCGACCGTGATGGTCTCCACCAATGGATGCTATTTCTTGCACGTGGAACACCCTGCAACAGACTTGGTTCTTCTCTTGCAGCTCAGACACGCTCTGCTTTAGTAGGCAGACAGGGTTGTGTTTCTAATTGTTGTGTGAGCTCTGTGCCTGCAGCTTTCCTCCCAGCTGGCTGCGCTTCCCTCTCCGGACCAGGCACCCAGACTGGTTTTACAAAGGCAACGTTTGTTTTCCTGCCAAGCTCTGGTTTTGCCAGCATAGTGATGTTAACGCAGGTCCTGGACCCGAGCCCCCTCCTCCCCTTGCCAGGAGTGGAGTCGGCACTTCTATACTGGTTCCTGCATCCCTACGGTATGGAGGGTGCTGTACCAATGCTGCCAGCATTTGGCCCGTTACTCTTCAGCAGTGGCATTCCCAGCCTTGCAGCCATTGCCCCTGCCTAAGGCATCTCGAGCCCTTCCCCAGGGCTGTGCTGCAGCATGGCCATGGTGCCACCAATCTCAAACACAGGTGCTCCCTTCCCCACCTGCGTCCTCCTTTAGTCCCTGCAAGATAAATGCCATTTTGTGTGCTTGGCACTGAACTCCTCAGGGTAGGCATGGGCTCTCTCAGGCTGCTAGGAAATCCCTCTGACTCCAGATTTTGCAGATTTTACATCTGTACTGCAAGGTGAAGAGGTGGCAGAGGAGTAGGTTAAGCATGTCATGCTCTGGTTTCTGGCTACACTGTTGGACAGTAGCTTGGGTTCAACCTGTTCCTGCTGTGCTTAGGAGCAGACAAGTTGGACTACAGTGCCCTTTGCCCTGGGCATGCAGATCTAGCCGCTGGTGTCCTGACCTTTATCCTGGCATAACTGCTGTTTTCTGGATGCCCATTCTCCAATAAGAAAGTTTATGGGGATTTAAGTCCAGCCACAGGGTCACTACTAGAGACATAGAGAGTTTCCCTTCAGTGGCAATTTTTCCTGATGAAAAAAATCAAATATTTCAGCATTTAGCCTGAAAAATGGTGAGAAACATATCGTATTAGCAAAGAAAGTGAGAAAATGAAAGTGAAAGCACCACATGCTGATGTATCAAGACAAGAATACAGCTTGTAAATCCTTTATTTCCTAACAGTGGAAATGCTTTATTTACATATTGCCAGACAAAAAAAAAGACAAAGGAAACCTGCACAGACTCCTGTCCGTGGAAGCCCTGTGGAAAGCTGTGTTATTCCCAGGGCCAATGGGGCTCCCTACCAGAAGAGAAAGCTTTTGTCTCTTCTCCTGCAGATGAGACAGTGTCCTTTTCCATCAGCTCTGAAATAGTTGTCATTCATCAGGTCTCACCCGTGGTTTGTGGCAGGTGCTCCTTGCCTCCTCTAAACCAGCACCAGGAATGATAAGTGTATCTCTTCATTTTCCTGCTCTCAAAGGCATCAGAGTGGATAGCGGAAAACTCTTGGGATTTTCCAGACTTCTCTCCTGAGGTCTGAAACCTCGCAACAAACATTTCCTCTAGTTCAAAATGGTGATGAGCTTTGTTGCAAACTGCTCTGTCAGAACCTGCACACTGCTGGGTCTTCTCGCTCGCATTGGCCCCGGATGCCCCATCGCCTGCTGCTCGTACTAGCACTACTCGTTTTTTCCACTTCTACCTGGATTTCTAAGTGCTAAAAACAAATTTCAAAGCTGTGTAGACAAACGCGATTGCGACTCGCATTAAAGCAGAGATGTGGGGACGCTTACATGTATTTCTGACATTTTAAATCAAATGTCAGCAAGCAGGTTGTTGCAATGGGTCCAGCCGCAGGTACACAGTCTGCTCGTCACCTGCTGAATGCCACAGGACTGCTGGAAAAGGGGAAGACTTAGGTCTTGAGAAAGACAAGCTTTTCAGTCATTATCTCAGACACACAAGACTTTCAGTTAAGGTAGAAGCCTTTGGCTTAGGGTCGATATTTTCACTCTGGAAGTTTAATTACCTGATTTGCCTGATACTTCTCCATTATTGCTTTTATTTGTTGTCCTTATGCTTTACTGGAGCATCTTATTTCCAAAGGTATGAAACGCTTAGCTTTATACACTAGATAAGGTATGGGGTATTGCTCCCAGGAACAGGATAGGAAACACCGAAAGAGAAGGCAGGGGATTTAGCCAAGGTCAAAAACAAGGTCTGTGCTAAACCAGGATAATGTGGCACCTACATCCCAGGCGCTTTTTTGCACTGTAACCTATGATCAGCATCCTTTCCGGAGAACATTTTTATTTGCGTGCCGGAGAGATCATCTGATGATTTCTGAGCTTCTCCTATCTTGGGTGTACGCACTTCACTGGGGGTTTTAGGTTCAGACTCACAACTATGATAAAGATGGACTAGGCCAGCTCAGCTGCAGCAACTGCTTGATCCTGCACACTTGCCCTGTTCTCTCTTATGGCTCTAAGCTAAAAGGGACCAGGTTTCCTGCCCTGTGGCCTTAGATGTCACACATGTGTGAGCTACTGCAGATGAGCTGAAGTCGGGTAGCTGCACAAGCTGAGAACTGGCTCGCATGCCTGAGCTCCGGTTGTTTTGTGACAGCTGGGATGTTTCAGGTTACCTGCGGGTCTTGCAACCGTCATTGATTTATGGAAAATTCAACTTTCTCTGCCAATGTTTTTATGACCTGGTAAAGAGAATATAAGCACAGCCTGACGAAATTGGGTTTGCGTTATGAACAAGAGCCCCAGAGAGAGCAGAGGCAGGCAGCGGCTCCCAGGGCAGCCTCCGGGTCCCATCAAACACACTCCAACCCGGCATCCTCGTTGTGGGAGCAGTTGTTCACACCCCAGTCAGGCTTCGAACAGTCGAGTATTGAATATTCATTTCCGCTGCAATTCACGTCATCAAGCCAAATTCGTCCAGTGCCTTTGGAAGATGAATTAAACGAAAGAACAAACAAACAGAAAACTGTTGGACAAAAGAAAGAGGAATATGCATTTTCTTTTCTAAAGAGACCCTTGTGGATAGCAGGTGTGCATTGGGGGTTGCACTGTTGGCTTGTTAGATAGCAAGCCTTTGGGCACTGTTCAAGCAGCACTTGACTTGCAGCTCCCTCATCCCAAGGGGAACAAACTGCCCTTTTGGGGAGATCCTCTTTGCTCTCCTGTTGCTTGTGTAGAGGACCTTGCTGTAGTGCTTTCTGGGTGTGCATAACCTCCCGTGCCAGGCCTGGGGAGGTGGAAGGCTGTTGTGGACTCACCTGGTGTTGCTGTGAAGGCGGAGGATGCACGGTTGTATCCCAGCATTCGGCAGACAACAGTGGCATCTTGGGTGCTCCAACCATCGTCACATATTGTTCCCCAAGACCCTTGGTGAAAGATTTCCACGCGACCCCTGCTGCCCCCTCCTGCGATTCGTATAAGGTGATTGAAGTTGCCTGACAGTTCAGAGGAGAAGAAAATTACTCTACTAGTCATATGGGCATGAGATAAAAAAGCATATTGAAAGATGGAAGCAGTGACCACCCAGACTGGACAAACATTCCCATCTCCATGGCTCCAGCCCGAGTGAGACCAGAAATTACTGGTAGCTCAAATCTGAACAGTTCAGAGTTCTCTCCTGGGTCTGGAGACACCAGGCTGCAGCTCAGCATGTGGACCCTTCAGTTCTGGTAGCCCTGATGTGGGTTAACTAGTGTGCACAGGGGACATGTCGGTCCTGGTCTCAGATAGCTTTGATGCCAGAAGGTAAGTAAGAGAAAAAGAAATAAAAGTCCAGTACCTCCTCCCTTTTCACCTTTGCTCCCTTTTATTCCTGGGGAACCTGTTCCAAATATAAAAAGCAAATATTTGACAGCTGTTTGGAAGAAAATCCAGTTATTATCTTTTTGCCAACAATTGGGTGAGTCAGAGATATGAGGGCTCCGTCCCCCTGTGGAATGGACCCCATGAAGAGACTAAGGGTATGTAGAAGAAATGTGACAAGAAAAGTAGGATAACATACAGCAGTCTTCTTAACATGTGACCCAGGAAAAGGGCCACTTGCAAAATTCCATCCACTCACTTGTGGGAAATGTATCTTGTTCCCACTACTACCTGTAAAATGACATCTCTGATAGCCTTTGGGCTCTCCAGAAGCAGGCGTGGTATCTCTCAAAGTACTTGCAGGAAGCTCTGGATCATGGGTTTTGCTCTCCAGGTGCTGCCATGGGACAGCAGAAAGCCACTTCCAACAGTCCTCCACGTTTCAGTGTAGCATCCTGATCTTGAGAGCAGGGGTGTTTGAAAAAACCCAATGAGCTCTTCCCCCAAAAGCTACCTCCACAAAGCATGCATTGCTGTCTCCTTCTGGGGACCAGGACATGAGACCCACCCAGAAGGCAATCCCTAACCTGGGGTCACCCCAGTTACACTTTTCCCCTCTTCCAGAGGCAAAGTTCCGAAGAGGTGTGGATGGAGGAGCCCAATATGGGCTCTAGTTTATTTTATTTCTGAGGACTCTCCTACTGTTCTGTGTGAACAATTTAAAAAAAAAAAAAGCATCTGGAGCGCTGGTGGCTTCCCATGGCCTGTTGTAATTACTGTTTTGGATTTTTTTTACTACAGGTCTTAGGGTTTTTGGAAGCATTTTGTGATTGGAAGGGAGGGGCTAAGGATGGGGAGTAGCTGTAGCGTTGGCCCTTTTGAGCTGTCTATTTTTGTGTCCTACAATTAGAGAGATGTGGTTAAATAGCCCCAGTGTTTCTGATTCTGTGTTGCTGACTGCCACGTTTACATGGGATTTATCCCAGCAGCATGGCACGCTGCAAGATGTCTCTGTACAAAGCAAAGAGGAACATGAGTTGTTCCAGTTTTCTGTGAGATCGGGGATTTGGGAAAATCTAATCCATCTGTTTACTTGCATGTCTTTTAGCACAGCTCCCGAGGTACAAATGTGACACTCTGCACATCCGTCTTGTGGGAAGACTGATCTGTCTTGTTGAGTTCCTTCAAATGAGCTCTGTAAACACGCCCCAGAGAAGCTTGTGCCAGTCTGTGATGTACAACCCCAAACTCAAATGCACCATCAGCTCCACACACCCTGTGGCAAACAGCCTTACCAGGGGGTCCCTGGTTTCCTTTGTCGCCTTTTACTCCTGGTTCTCCTTTTGGACCACGACTGCCGTAATCACCCTTGCTTCCTTTTAGACCGGTTGGGCCTTGACTGCCTGAGTGGAAAGCAAGAAAGACATTGCCTTTGTCCCTTCCCAAGGAAAGGGTGTGACGAGCATTTCATGTTGATGCGTTTAAAGTGCTTTGCATCATCGGAGTAAGTCGTGCTGTCAAACAAGGGTTTACCTGGCTGGCCCGGGTCTCCCTTTGTTCCCTGTTGCCCTGGAAGACCTAAGATCATCAAAACAAACAAACAAGAATTTATAAGACAGATATTTATACATTTGTAAAAGTTTGTGCAAACTAGTATTTATGACAGATTTCAGCTCATCTAGTTTAGCTGTCTACACTGTAGGCATCCATTTCTGAAGTGGGTGTCTTATTTCTCATCATAGTCAGTGCAGACTTCATTAATAAAGAAAATACAGTCAGTGGAGAATTGTCTTCTTCTGAATTACATCAACTTCTGTTCATTTATTTCATATCCTAAACTCCACTGATGGGATAGAGATGCTTCCTTCAGGTGGGTCTTCACTGCCAGTTGAGAGAACCTAGACGCATACATTTAGGTGCATTAGACACATGCAAGCACATAATGTTGGGCCAGCTGACTCCCATCTCTGTCATCCAGGTATCAATGAATGCAGAAGGGTGCAGCACTTGGACCTTTATCACCTCCTGATGGAGATGAGAGGTTGTGTGCATTATATAAATTCAGGGTTAAAAAGATTCATTCAGGAGGAATACACCAGAATAGTCTTGTGCTGCAGATCATCACCCTGTCGTTTGATGGAAGGTCAAAGAAAAAGCCTAGGCTATGAGCTCCAAGTTGGCCTCTGAAGATATCTCTTTCTGCAATGCTATAGAGGAGCCCAGGACAGATGCTTGCTAGTGAACACCCTTCTCCATCATATTTACAGCCAGCAATGTTTGTCTTTAGCTCCAGGGTAGGGAGGTTGTTGTTTGGTTCGTCTTAAATGGCTGCTTCGTTTGCGCTTTTTCTATTTATACAAAAATGTAGGCAACATCACCTCCTCATGCAGGTTATAGACAGTTGAAACAACCCCTCCAGTGAGTAGCTACCCTGCCAGCAGTCTGGCAGAGGCCCAGGCCCACCATAGCATCCCGGGATGCATTGGGGCTCCAAGAACAGGACTCAAAAATCTCCTCCGTGCTCTTGCAGATCTCTTTCCGGTGTCTGCATGATGCGTATTGTTGACCCCAAACCTGTTTTATTCTACCGTACCTGTTATTCCTCTGTCTCCCTTTTCACCTTTGAGTCCTGCAGTGCCTGGTGTTCCTAAAATTAAAAACAAATCAGTAAGGGCGAAGCCATCACACAAAGGAAGGCCAGAGTGGGAGTCGGTGAGTCATAGGTTGAGTAGCTTTGTACCTGGACTACCGCTGGGGCCCTGGTCCCCCTTCTCCCCTTTCTGACCAGGTGTGCCTTTGGGGCCAGCAATTCCCTCAGGTCCACGTTGTCCGGTTACGCCTTGAGGTTGAGCAAAAGCAGCACATGTGAAACACAACACAAAATATAACAGAGAAAAGAGAAGAACAGCTCAATCGGCAGCCCCTGTGCTGTGCAGATCGAGTTGACCCTTTGAAGGCAAACCAAAGGCTGGCTCTCTCCAAATTGCAATCTCCCCCAGCAGCACTGATCTTAGCGCAGTGAGTGATGGTCTGCAGTGAAAGGCTGTATGGACTCAGGTCCTTGCAGACTGTCAGCCCTGAGAGGCACAAGTGCTTTCCTAAAACAGCAGCCAATTTTCACCCTTTTATGAGCACATGTCCGGAAGGACGTGGCCCTCCATGGTACAGGACCCTCCTTTCCCTCTCATTCTCCTGCACCATGAGTGGGATCCAGACGAGACAGTCAAGGCTGTGGGATGGGTTTGCACAACGTTGGCATGGTTTCTTCATCTAATCATCATCTTCTCTTATCCATGCTGGGATCTAGCCTGGCTGTAGTTTTCCTTGTCATGAAGCACCATCTAAAAGAGATATTGGTCTCATATCTCTAGAAGATGCCGCACCTTCTGTGCTGCTTACCTGCCTCTCCTTTCTGCCCAGGAGGTCCAGGCTCACCCGTGCTACCTGTAACAACATCCCAGCATCAGTGCTAATGAGGCTTAGCCAAATTCTTCAGCTAGGGCAGCCCTCCACCATGGCATGCACGTGCTGATGGTGGGTTGCGCTGTGTCCTCTGCACTTACCTTTAAAACCTGGTGGTCCTGAAATTCCCTGCTGTCCCTGAGGACCCATGGGTCCACGAGGCCCGAGGTCTCCCTTCTTGCCCATTTCGCCTTTCGGTCCTTGGAAACCTGTCAAACAGCACAGCACACACGTGTAAGTTAAAAATAACAGATTGATTGTCTCTGCAGCCAGTGGAGCTCGTTCCTTTAGCTGCACCAGGAGCAGAGCTTGGCCTCACACCTGCATTTACCATTCAGCTGTAGGAGGACAGGGCTGGATGGCACCTCAAGAGTCTGTCTGAACCAACTCCAGCTCTGCCAGCCTGTCTGGCCAAATGGCTGTCTGACCTGCTGTTAAAGACCTGCAGCGGTGCCATGACATATCCCCAGCCTGTTCCCCAAACTATCCCTACTGCTAGAGTGTTTTCTTCTCTAAATGTCCCTCACTGCAGTCTGAACCCTTCCCTTCTCCCAGCCACAGCTGGAGATGGAGGACAGCATATTCCGCTCTTAGGCTTCCAGGGGATTGCCACATCTCCCCTTAGCCTTCTCTTCTCTGAACATGTGATCAGCATGCTCCAAAAGAGCTGAATTACTTTAAAATACCTCATTTAAAGAGTGATATCTCCTTCATCTTTCTGCTCCAGAATTATCCCAAAGTCCTCACCTTTCAGTATTCCTCCTACTTTCACCTTTCACTTCTGGAACAACTTGTGCTAATGAGTGCACTGGAGCATGTGGGATCTGATGGAAGACCTGAGGAAGCTCTGATCAACCTGTCCCACTGTCCTCCCTGGTCTGCATCAAACACATCTTCTGCTTTCTTTTGCTATCCTGCTTTCAGCTTTTCCTCTCCACTTGCAGCCCTCTTGAGACTGCTGAGTAACAGCTATCCAGGAGATACCCACTAATGCACGTTACATGGGAGAATAATACACAGTGCATAATTCTTCTACTTAAGGGGTACAAAAGTCAGGTTTATATAGGATATAAAATTCTCAGAATAAGTTTTACTGAAGTGACGACTAACATCCACATGCTTGTGCATATAAATTATATTGTATTACTTGATACCATGAAAATCCTACTGCAAACATCGTTGCTTTAACTTGGGATAGGCTCATAATTGAATACCTGTGGGTTTCATTAGACGAAGGTCGCTCTATAAAGAGACTTCCATGGTGCAGAGTCAACATTTTGCACGTCCTCTCCCCCCAGCCCTCTTTGGGATATGACACAAAATGAAATCCCTTCAGATCAGGCCGAGTGCCCTGTTTATCCAGCTCCCTCATTGACTGGCAAGCCAGATTTTTATGAAACAGCTGCCCTATGAAGACTTCTTCTGGTGTTTTAAGTAGAGTGAGTTTAAACAGGAATACCTGAGAGAATCTTAAAAATGTTGAGATAGTGAAGTCTTACCTGGAAGTCCCATCTCTCCTTTTTCTCCTCTCGCTCCTGGTTCACCACTTGGCCCGGCAGGACCAGGATCTCCTTTACTCCCCTTGGCACCCTGCAGTCCAGGTAAACCTGCAAGGACAGCACCGCTTTCCTGGCGCTTTATCAGGTGTCATGTCTAGCGAAGGCCAGTAGCAGGACACGCAGCTCAGCTGCCGGCATAAGCCAGACTCTGCTCTCTGAATACTTCAGGGTGGTGCTGGGGACAGTGGGGTGTAGACCACCGTGACCAAAGCACACCTACATTTACAATAAGAATTTTTCCAGATGAGTCTTGCTTTTGTTCCTGTTAGTTTTACATAGGCTTATTTCCTTCAACTCCAGTGACATTCCTACTGACTTACACCTTCACGGAGGACAAGATTGCCCATAAAATCATCCATAAAGCCATTTTATGTTCATCCACAGAAGTAATGCAGGTGTCAGAAAAGCCTTACCTGGGATTCCTTGGTTTCCCTTTGTCCCCGGTGATCCCTGTAGCCCTGAGATGTAAAATACATATATCAGCTGACACACATCATCTATTCACAGTAATGGCTAAGAAGAAAAGATGAATTTTTTAATCATCCTTTGTGTGTGCACCTTTGGTCACCACTGAGGCCAATCTTCAGCTGGCAGGGACTAGTACAACCACTTGAGTAAAGTCCGTGGAGCTCGGCTGAGTGCGTGGCTGGGCAGGGGCCAGCTGTCCTCCAGCCAAGCCCAGCTCGTGGGGACCTTTGGGGACATTTTTCCCGAAAAGGCACTGAACTATTGGGCTCTGATGTATGATAACGGTGCCTGGCAGGAGGTGCTGTTTCAATGTTGTAAGTGCAGCCAGGAAGAGATGAAAACACAATTTTTAATTTTTTTTTCTTCAGAAAAGCTCCTCAGTGTAGCCAAGAGCTAGGCATGAATGAGATACAGACCTGACCTAACAACAGTTGCATCTTAGATCATCGTCATAGGATCTTAGCAACTCTGGTTTCCCTGGACATTTCTTGATGCAACCTTTGCTCAAAGCGGAGCCAGCATTAGATCAGGACTTGCTGCATCCTCACAGTCTGGAGACATTTATCTCCTGCAGCGGGTGTACTTCTGCCCAAAACCCCCAGGCATCCAGGGTAACATCTTGTGCATTGCTGTGGAGGGGATCGCTTGCACCCAGTTCATTCCCAAGTCTATATGGTTGTTTCCCCAGATAGGGTGGGCAAGGTCCCAAATCTGTCACTGTTTGTTACATGCACTGTTCAGCTGGGGCCCTATAGAGCAGGGACTGGAGAGGTCTCCTTTGGTTGTCTCGGAGTGAGTTGGGCAGCAGGACCTTCTGTGTCCGGAGGAGAAAGCTCAGCTATCTGTTGGTCGTGAGATGCCCATAAACTCCATGTAAATGGTTCAACCACCTTCCTGGTTGTCCTTGTTTCACATGGGGATCTGGGACAGTTATTTCAGATAATGACCAGGTACAGTTCCTCCATCACACCTGAGTTTTTCTGATGAGGTAGCACAGAGGAGGCAGACCGAAAATCCTCCTCCATGGTGGTCACTGACCTCTGCAAGAGTGCTCGGGCGAGCCGAGGCTCTCAGGGGATCAGCCAAAAGGTGCAGCAAGTCTCCTCATGGCCAGGGCACCGAGTGTCTGCACATTAAGTAAAATCTGAGCCTAGAGGCTGAAATCCCAAATCCTCACTTCAGGGCTCTTAGGGGGAAAAAAAGAGAAAGAGGAGAAGAGGAAAGAGTTGCTTACGGCTCATTTACCAACATACCTGGTGGACCAGGATCTCCTTTGCGTCCAGGAGGCCCTGAAATAAATATTTAATGGATATTTTTCAGTAGTTAGCACTCAATGAGACACATACCAGTATGGGCTTGATAGGCTTGAGGTCTGGGCTGAAGACAGCACCCTTTCAGAGGCCACCCAGAGCCCAAGTCTACAAGTTAGGGGAGGGGAGAACCGTCCAGAGCCACGTGTGCAGCTGCAGCAGGATCTGGTGGGGGCTACACAGGGCTGTACTCCAGCTTCTCCAGGAGTGCCCAGCTCCCTGGCCAGGGCATCTGGAGCCAGTGTCCAACCCTGGGCACTGGGGCATCACTAACAAACAGGACCAAATCTTGCCCTAGTTATTTGTTCATCTGAACTAGGTTTTTGGCCCAGCTTTGCCAGTGGTGCAGAGGAATCAGCTCTCCCCACTGTACAGACAGCATGGAGAAATGGAGCCATACCTGCAACCAGGGTGATGTTGTTCATCATCATCCTCAGGTTTGCATTGCTACTTTTAATTATGGTGATTTCCGCTTCTAAGTTTCTCCTCCAGTTTTCTTCATGTCTCATGTTCTTCACTTTATATTTTCTGTCTGAAAGCAGTTCGCTGGCAAAGGATCTTTCCAGAACATCTTCTACATAGGAGGCATTTTGTTCTTGAAATATCGATATCTCTCTCTCCATCTTAAACACTGAGGAAACAAAAGGCCCATGCAGTGAATATTCCCTGCCCGATCCGGATGGGGAATGCCTGTTCAGTCGAGCAGCTCATCAGCACCTGTGGAGGATACCTAGGTCTCACCACCACCACTGCTGGACCTGGGGAGGTGGGTTCCACATGCCGGTCCTTGCTGCAGCCAGGAGCACAACCAGGAGTGCTTTCACGAATGCAAAGCACATGTATGGGATGGGGGAATTCCCACCCGTGTGCTCGTCCCCGCTCGCCCTTGTGCCCCGAGAGCACCCAGCAGAGCCTGCAGCGATGTTGCAGTGTTACCTTTGTACACCAGCAGCCCCTGCCCGGCTGTCAGCAGCAACAGGTAGATGCCAAGGGCCAACCGAGCGCAGCACCTGGATGGCTTTCTTCGTCTTCGAGGCTCTGAAAAACCAACCGAAGCAGGGTAGACACCCTCTCGCATCTCTCCCTCTGCATACTCCGATGGCTTCCAGCCATTTCAGGCTCAGCCACGATAAATTGGCAGTGACGGGGAGCGGCGTGTCCCTCTGCAAGGCTGCCGGGTCCTGCAGGCAAGGCAGGACTTCACACTGCAGCTCACACTTGACCGTCTTTTCCTTGGCCAATTTAACCAGCTCACGTCCACCAAGACTTAACCCAGCCTATAACGGTATGAACGTGGTGTGTCTCCCCTTTCTGCATGAGTAAACTCCCTGTTTCCATGGCTTTCAGTTGTCCCCGGATGCCATTTGAAGAGGGTTGCTCAAAGCATACGCCCTCTCCATCCAGGGCACCGCACACATGCAATTCCAACAGTGAGGAATGTATACGCCAAAACAAATGAAAAATCAATAATAAACTGAACAGCAGAACAAATGAAAACAAGTCGCAACGTTTAAAACGAATGGTCACCAGCAAGCATAAAAGAAATGAACTGCTTTGTCGAATTTCGGCCTTTAGGGAGAAAAAAAGTATTTCAGAAGCATTAATAACTACTTCAGACATTCAGTAAGTTACCCTTAATTGAGTTTTTTTCAAAGTAATGTAATCAGGAGTTTGAAGTCTTAGCTTTAAAAGAGTACAATGATTTAATTAGTTTTACAGTATAATAGTTTAGTCAGCAATGAAGTATTTATATTCAGCTAAAAATTCATAAATTTACATTTTTTTACTGGATCTAGTGATTTCAGTATCTTGACTATTAAGACATGAAAGTTTCACTCAGTGAAATTAGGCATTTTCTAAAACAAGAGAAGAACTTTTTTTTTGATGCTCAGCATCAACTTTGGGCCAGAAAGGATACTTTCACATCTTTTCAAATGGTCAGTTAATTCAGTAGCAGAATCACTGTAAAAAGCATTTAATATGCAGTATAAATACATTATTTCATTTTTATGTGCTGCTTTCTTCGTAGACCAGATAAAATCTGTATCAATCCATTTAATAAAAAGAAACCTTACCATTTATCTGAAAGGTTGTAGTAGCAGCTGAGGGCAAGTCAATCTTGTCTGAGATACTGAAAGTGTTCATATCACTTGAACTTCTGTCTTCTCCAGATCTGTCTTTAATTTTCAAGACAAATTTCTTGTGACTAACCTAAAGCCTTGTCAGACTATGGACAATAAAGAACTGAAGAGACTTCCTATCTGCCTGTTGATTTGATATACTTTCTTATATGCTTTTCCTATTTGCTCAGTTTTTATAGACTTGTGAGAACTCTGATGTGGTAATTCAAACAGTTCCTCAAAAAATCCCACAGCTAAGATGTTCAGCTGCTCTTGTGTGCTCATTTGAGGACATTGTGTCCACAGAGCCTCGGGCAGGATCCTGCAAGAAGTTCAACCCTGAGTTATTCAACAACTCTGCACTTTAGTTGGGTTGGGCATGAGGTGACCATTTTGGTCCTAACACAAGTAAATCTCCTCATGTAGCCCAGAAGATCCCAGGTTCAACATTAGCTTGGAGATCCATCCCCTGGGAGGGGAGGTGAAGCACCACTGCATGGCAGCAAAACACACATTAACTTGCACCAAGACGACAACTTCGTGAAGGTACATGACTGAAGTGCCAAGAGAGAAAGAATCAGAAGTTGTAAAAACAAGCAAATGATGGTGGAGTGGGGGATACTGAAGCCCACTTGGGTTTGGGATGTAATGGAGAAGAGACACATGCAGCCTCCTTACTGCAACTCTCTCCAGCCCCTGCTTTCTCCCTGACCTATTTTCCGCACCCTTGGACACAATTTCTACCACCTCACCACTGCGTTCCTCGCGTTCTGTAAAACCCATCCCTGCAGACCTCACTGTGGTGTTTGGTGTTTCAGCATCTCCGTTTGTGCCGGGGTGGATTTTGATTTTGCGAAGCGAAGTGACTCACCCAGGCCTGCAGGCAGGAGCCGTCGGTAGGCGCCGGGCAGAGCCCTCCGCACCCAGGCTGCCGCCGCCACGTGCTGCCCTCTCCAAGGCATGGGGCAGTCCCCATCACACGATGTTCTCCTGGGCTGCAGGTCCGTGGTCATCTGTGGGGCTGCTGGATCCTCATCGCTTTGCGTGGCCATGGAAGAAAGTGCGGCGTAAGCTTCAGGCAGACGTGAGCTGGAAATCCACACCCTGATGGCCCAGTACAGAATGAAGCCCTCTGCCCTGCACCTGATGTATAGCTCTCTAAAAGGCTTAAATTAAAAATATGTAGGGATTTTTAAATCCACTTCTGCCTTCTCCTTTCAAACATACTTCTGCAGCTGTGACCTAGTTTGGCACCAGCAGTGAGGAAGAGGAGTCCTCCGTTATCATATATTCTGCTACACCCTGCGTAGGAATTGGGATAATTTTCTTGGTTATGAAAGGCTCAGATACCCCCTGGAGTTGGGTAGCTTGAGTGGTTACCACGGATCAGCTAAGCCATAGTAAAGACCTCCTCATCCTCTCCCTTCGTGACATCACCTCCTCACTGGGGTAAGGGCTCGGATCCAGCCCGTTTCTCATGGTTTGGGTGGTGACGACTCGGCACAAACCTGAAACCATCAACTCTTGCCAGACCAGGTGATGAGGTGGGCATGACTGCCCTTGAGTGGCCACATGGATGTTTATAGGGATGGATGTGATTCAGATGCACGCAGACAGCAGATTTACAGCAGAAAGTCTTTTAACGACACATCTAAGCAAAGCCATTTTATTTAAAAAATATTAAAAAGAAGCTGGCAGCTGTAGTTTTCAAAAAGCTCTTCTAAAAGACAAAAGGTGCAATGAGATCTTTGTGTCCTCCTTCCCTGAGAAAGAAGTTCAGATAGGTGTTTTCCTCTCTCTTGTGATCATGCTGTGGCCATACCATTCACAATGGCCCAGATGGCATGGCTGCAAAAGCAGGGATAGAGACCCTCAGTTTTGACAGTCCTCATCTGCACTGCTCCAGGCTTCAAAGTCCAGTTCTCCACTTTGCTATTTTGGGAAAGTCAACAGCAAAGACACTGTCCCACCCACCTTTGTCCAACCAGCCGTGGTTGCCTACTCTGCCCATTGAACTTAGTTCTCCCTGTATTTCTAGTTGATGTAGCCCCGTGCAGCGCTGCCGCTGCCACATTCCCATCAGTCAGGTGAGCGTCTGGCTGCTGGGAAGCATCATGGTGTGCTTCCATCGGGACATCGGCCTCTGCAAACAGATGGCAGCTTTTCCCGGGCACATGGCACATGGGGTCTCGGCCATGCCACGGACTTCAGAGATCATGTAGCGACGCGCTCGCTCAGCCTTTGTGTGCGCTCACTGCTGCTGCCCCCATCCCTCTTTCTGCTTCCATTTCTCACTGCACCATCACGGACTGCAGCAATAGATCGACTCTGGTTGTGCAATCAGGATTACTAAATTATGAAAGGAAAAAAGAAAAGAAACTGCTGATTCAGTCTCCCTAGGTTGAAGGTTTGCTGAAACAATGGGATTATTAATAGAATAGCAGTTTCCAGCACATTATGAGGCATGTCTGCTAGTCCATCAGCCTCGCCCTTCAAGCTCTCTGCTAGGAAGCCCTGGCCCCTCTCCCTCCTGCTGCTCATCCTGCCTCCCCTGAAATGCTCTGCTGACATCTCGGGGAAGAGCCTGAAGTCCTCCAGTTCATCCCTTCCCTTCGCACGGTCTGATGGCAGTGGCTCGTGCTGGGCAGGAGGTGCTCCTCACACTTTCATTGCAAAGGTGCCTCACATCTGAACCGAATTTTAGAAACAGACCGCAGCCGCCTCAGAGTCACGGGCCCGTGGGTAACTGCTGAGGTAGGATAAGGGAAGTTTCTGGTCCCTGGCAATCTCTGCTACCTTCCTCTTCTCGTTTCACCACTGTTGTCAGCTGCAGACATTTGCCTTTACCAAAAGCTCATGGCGGAGAGAAGAGACGTAACAACAGACTCCAACCTGGCTTTAGCTAAACACAGTGGTTCCCAGCAGCTGTACTACCAGGGAGCTTGGACAGGTGTTAGCCTCCTCAGGATAAGCAGTTATCCTGAAACCACTGAATTTTTTTTTTTTTTTTTTCCCAAATGAGAAGATATCCAGCTCAGAGGTGTTTCTTCATTTATCTACAATATGGTAATTTTTCCAAACTCATCTATTTGCTTACAGACTGTCTTAGGCATAAATGGGCAAAATTCAAGGGGCTTTGATGCTCCTCCAAGGACAAAAGGAAGAGAAAAAGTGACGGCACAAACAGGCTGCATGTTGGGTAAGCCAAGGCAGGAACCTCCACCCTTTTCGCAGTCACCTGTAGACTGAAGTGAAAGTGGCAGCCAGAAAAGGTGACAGTCTACCCCTTATCCCAACACCTGCGATCAAGTTTCTGCAGAGGAGCTTCAAAAAAACCAAAAAATAATCCTGCCCACAGACCACGCTGCTCTCCCACAGAAACGAGTAGCCATGGTTTGACCTGGGACACAGTCCATAGATGCACATCGCAAAGCCGTCAGCTATCAGAGCTGTTCAATTGTCTCCTCGGTGATAGGTTTGTTTGTAAACCAGCTTGGGATTTCTTTTTCTCCTATTTTACCTGATTTTTCAGTCTTTTCTCTTTTTGGAATAAACAAGGTTGGTGAATTTCGACACATCAGTGAGCTCTTGTGGTGGATTGACCCCGGCCATCAGCCAACGCCCACCTAGCTGCTCATTCAGTTCCCTCTGCCAAAGGATGAGGAGAAAATAGAAGGAAGGTGAGAAGACTCGTGGGTCAATATAGTGACAATTTAGTAGGGAGAGCAAAAGCTGCACTTGCAAGGAAAGCAGAAAGAGGAATTAATTCTTTACTTTCCATCAACAGGCAGATAGGCAACCAGTTCCTGGGAAGCAGGACCTCAGTACATGTGATGTTTGCTTGGTCTGACAAACGCCCTAACCACAAACATCTCCCCTTCCTCCTTCTTTTCCTGAACTTTGATTGCTTAGTTCGACGTCATATGGTGTAAAATATCCCCGAGGTCTGTTTGGGTCAGCTGCCCCTGCCGTGTTCCCTCTCAGCCTCTTGACCACCTCCAGCCTTGATAATGTGCGAGCACTGCTCACCAGTATCCAAAAGCTTGGTGTGTAATCAACACTGCTTCAGCCACAAATCCAGAGGACAACACCATACATGCTGCTGTGGAGAACATTACCTTCATCTCAGTCACACTCAGTAATGCTCTCCAGTATGATAGTGTTTCTGCTAAAATGCCTGACGAAGGACCAAGGACTTTGATGCCCATGGACATCAAAGGCACTGCTGAATTCAGGGTATGCCAAAGCAGATTGTGAGTGATCTGCCCACCAGCAGCTCATGGAGGTGCCAGATCTGGGGTCTTCCTTGTGAGTGTCCCACTGACTGCCCAGCTCAGCCATGATCAGCACCCCCCCAAAAAAAAGTAAATCCATCTCTAAGGGCAAGAAATGATGTGGAGACGTGGAGAGTTTCTATGCAGAAGAGAGACTGAGGCCAATACACAACATCTAAACAGTTGTGATTTGTGCCAGGGCATTGAAACAAAGCTTGAGTCTGGACTCATATGGGAGCAGGGGCTTTGTCATGAAGCCCCCCATGTCCCTGCGTGCCCAGCGCTGTGCTCAGGGGACCAGCTGCTGCGGTAGCACCCGGGAACTCCTGGGACTGCAGAGAAGCACTTGTGCTAAAGCAATAAAATCCCCAGTGCTGCCTGGCTGACATTTCTCCTTTCCAGCTTGATGTGTTGCTTGGCTTTGTTGTAAAGATTGAAACCAGATTTTCTTTCCCTTCTATGAGTTACGTTAATTTGTGTTTCATCAGAATTTGTCTCTTCTCCTCCTTTTCTCCCCCCGCCCCCCGCCTTTAGGCTGGATCCAGCTGCACCATGAATTCAAGGAACCACCTGCAAAATATTTTAATGACTTCAACCTGCTCTTTGAGGTGAATTAATACCAGGGCAGCCTCTGCAGCATGGTGAAATAGTCAGGCTTGGCTAAGCAGGCCACCCTCGAAGCTGAAAAATATGTTCTGCAAGGCAACCACTCCTGACAGGCAACTCTGTTTTCAAGGTCCCCGTGCAGTGT